CAACCCACCCCGAGTGCCAGGAGCGCATCGCGGCGGAGCTCGACGCACAGGGGCTGCTGTACAAGCCCGGCTGCCCCCCGCCGCGCGAGCTCGTGCTGGACGACCTCAAGCGGCTGCCTTACCTGTCGGCCAGCCTCAAGGAGGCGATGCGCATGCTGCCCGTCGTGTCCCTCATGGCCCGCGTGGCGGAGAAGACGGTCAAGGTGGGGCCCTACACGGTGCCCGCGGGCACCATCGTCGCGACGCCGCTGTTCGCGATCCACAACACCAAGCACAACTGGGAGGCGCCGGAGGAGTTCCGGCCCGAGCGCTGGGCGGACGTGCCTGTGGAGAACTTTGTCTACAACAGCAAGGAGGGCGAGGGCGGCGGCAAGCGCGGCATCACGTTCATGCCGTTCTCGGAGGGGCCCCGCAACTGCGTCGGGCAGTCGCTGGCGAAGATGGAGGTGATGACGTTGCTGGCCAAGCTGCTGGCGTCGTTCCGCATCGAGCTGGCGCCGGAGATGGGCGGGCGCGAGGGCATCCGCAAGCGCGAGAGCACGCACCTCACGCTCCAGACAGCGGGCACCAAGGGCATTCGCTGCCACCTGCACCCCAGATCAGAGGCCGTCTCCACCGCCGCCGCCGTGCTCGCCTAAATCGGGGCCCGCCTGATTGGCGGCGGCCCGCGCGTGCCGCGCGCGTCGCCGCGATTTGCCTGTCGGCTGCAGCGGCCGAGCTCCGTCCGTCAGCAGGCCTGCGCGCTGGCTGTGTGGGCGGGGAAGCCAGCTGCTGCCACGCGGCGCCTGTGGGACAGCTGTCCTTCACCTATGCGCTGTACTTCCTGGTGGGCGTCGACTTTGCCGCACCCTCTCCTCCCCCCCTCGCGGGCTGCGCCCGCAGCTTTCCCGGGCCGTGCGCGCCATGCTGCGCCATGGGCGCTCTGTTGCCTTTCTTGCCTGGAGCGTGCGCACGTGCTAGCACACGTTCCACAGCCCAGCAGGCAATCGGCACCCCAGGCTGAGCGTTGCAGATGCCTCGCGGATGATTGCTGTGATGCGTCGTCACTGCGTCGCTGCGGCTGCCACCCTTCACGGGACGGCGCCCTCTGGCAGTCCATGTTGTCACTTCTGCAAGGAATTCTTACAAGGCGGGTTACTCGCAGGCATGAGGGTGTGTGCTTTTCAGCCGGAGGCGGCTGCGACACCCCTCGGACTTTTGCCATCAGATTTGAGGCTGATGGTCTTGTGATGGGCTCGCCCAGCCTGGCGGGCTGCCTGGCAGGCAGTCACCGCATTCAAGCCGTTTGCGGCCACGCTGACTAAGAATGATAACTGTCACTTGCGAGCGTGTTTTACCCCGGAACACGTGGCACCAAGCAAAACGAACGCTCATGCGAATGCCATTGCACGCCGTCGCCGCCGCAAGGGGCCTCCTGCGAGGATCTGTGCGCACTGTGCTGCAACGCAAGCAGGTTTCGTCATCCAAGAAACAGTAACGTTTTGCTCTTTTAGTTCAATGGTCTCAGGAGCCTTGGATGTCACCCGCGCTCGGCGAGCCGATACCGTATTGATCAAGAAAACTCAGGTTCGATCTCCCGTTGTCTGGCATTTGCAAATCCTGTTGTGGTTTGAGCATTGTATTACTTAGAAGGTGCTCGGAAAGCTGCGCTGTGGGGGGCGACGCATACAGCACCGGCTGGCATCTCTTCCGTGGCGCTGCGCCAGCCCGCCAGAACCTCGCCAGGCTCGAGTATCAGGTGATCGTCTGCATATATGAAAGGGGCTCTGTGTCGCCCACTCGGCTGCAAAACCTTCCCGCGAGCGGCTATGGGGGCCGGGCTCATCCCCGCTTGCCAATGCAGAGGGCTCCCGGTGCTGTACATGTTTCATAAGGAGCACCAAAAATATGTCTCGGGGCACCGCTTTTCTTGGCGTGCAAATGCGCCATGACTGCGGTGGCTCGGCCGCTCGCCCGCGTCGCCGCGACCGCCTCAGGCACAGCAGCCCCACGCATCGCACGGGGCCCCTAAACATACCGCTCCTCTCTGTGCTCCCCCTTGAAGCCTGCGCCTGCAGCCATGTCTGACGTCTTTGACGTCGCCAGCATGGCGCCTCTCCTGCGGTCCGTGGTCGCCGCGGGGCCGACGGAGACGGCAGTGCTGGTGGCCATTCTGGGAACCCTGTATATGCTCTACGTGGCGCTCACCAAGTGGGTGGTGCAGCTTATGTGCGAGCGCCGCGTGCGGACGTGTGCGTGTGTATGCACATGCCGTGAGGAGAAGGCGAGAGGGGGGTTACCCTTGATATCACAAGGCGGGGCTCCTGCAACGGGGCTTGGCCATTGCGCAGCCTGCAGTGAGGCTCAGCCAGTTTGCAGCCTGCAGGTGGGCGCAGCCATTGCGCAGCGCTTTGCGGCTGTCACACACCGCCAGACCCCGTCAGCAACAGAGTTTATAGGGGCACAGGCCCCCAGAAGCTGTGTGAAGCAACGCATGGGCTAGCTCAGCGCGTGCCAAAAATCGCCTGACAGGCTGATTTGATGCGATGCACACCATGATGTTTAGCCGAAAAAACAGAGTCTCCCTGCAGCACTCTCAGCCCATGCAATACCATATCAACAAAACCCAATGCACACAACCCCTTTCCCCCCTCATCCAGGGCCACCAAGCACGACCTGGATAAGGTGCCAGGGCCCTGGAAGAAGGCCTGGCCCCTGGTGGGGAACGCGCCCTCCCTGCTCAAGCCGGACTTCCACCGCCAGTTCTTGGCCTGGAACGACGAGTGAGCGGCGGCAAGCGGCTGGGGGCGGGGCGGCGGCGGGTGGCCATGGGTGCACGCACGGAGGCGGCTCGGTTCGGGCGCCGCGCCGCGCAAATAGCAGGGATGGGGCGATTGTGGGGGCCCGGCAAGCCGGCGCGGCAGCCGCGTCTCTGTCAAGCAGAAGGGACTGTACTCCCAGCCGGTTGTCATGGGCGCCCAAAGCTGTGCGCACAACTCAAGCCCGGAAACTAAGCTCAGAACCGCTGCTCGGCAGGTTTGGTGGCATCTGCCGCATCAAGTTCTTTTGGACCGACGTGCTGCTGGTGACTGACCCGGTGGCCCTGGGCAGCATCATGGGCCGCGGGGAGGGCGCCATTGACAAGGCGTTTGAGACTTACGCCCCCATCAACAAGGTGCGAAGCAGCCAAAGCAGCAGCATGAGCAGGAGCAGGAGCGACAGCAGCAGCGTCGGCGGCAGCAGGAGCTGCCGACGGAATTTGCGGTTGCAGCGGCATCATCCATTTGGCCTGCTGCTTTGAGATGCAACAAACCTATGCTCAGATCAGGGCCGATGCACTCTGGCCCTGAATGTTGCGCCAGTTATGATGCAATCAGAGGCGGTGATATCTGAATCTGGAAAACCTGGCATGCACCCTTCCTGTGTTGCGAAACCCTTGCGCGGCATCTAACCCCCATCAACGCAGATGACGGACCCACACGGCAACCCCAACCTGCTGACCGCGCCGGCCGACGAGAAGTGGAAGGCCATCCGCAAGGGTGTGGCCGTGTCGTTCGCGTTCCAGAACATCAAGGTGGGGCGGCGGGGGAGCTCGGCAGTGGCCCCTCCAAGCATGCCATGCGCAACTGATGAGTCCCCCCCCCAGCATGAGCGGCCCTGACACCGTGCCGACCAACCAAACGCGCAGACACACCAGCCCTCTCTCTTATAGCCGCGCGCCCCTCCAACACGCTACCCTCCATACATCCCAACTCCCCTCCCCCCCCCTGCCGGTCCCCTTGCCCGGCCCCCGCTTTTACCGCGCAGAAGAAGTACCCCATGATCCTGCAGCGCGTGAACCGCGTCATCCAGCGCGCCGGCGCGCTGGGCCCCTCCGCCTCCATCGACGTCGACCAGCTGGCGCTGCGGGTGACGCTGGACGTCATCGGCCTGGCTGGCTTTGGGCACGACTACCAGAGCGTGGAGAAGGACGTGCCGGAGTACGACCACCTGCTGGTGCGTGGGCCCTCAGATTCTCACTGTTTCTGATGCAATCGTGCGTGTTTTACATGCTGGCCGCTTGCTCTTGATGGGCCAGGCTAGCGGCTTGAGGGCGGGATGGTGCGGTGCAGCGCTTGCGAGGTGCAACTGCGGTGAGGCGTCGGAATTGTGTGAGGAAGAGGCGGGGCTGTGAGCAAGCAGGCGTCGTGCCGAGTTTGCAAGACAGTTGGCTGCCAAAGCTGTTTGTCCTCGAGGCCGCATTGCGAGCATGGCAGAGGTGCGTGTGGGCGTCGGCACGGCCTATGCAAGCCAAATCTTGACCGCTCCCTCCACTGCGCATCCTGCTCCCCCAGCGCGTGCTGCCGCGCTGCTTCACGGAGGTCATGCTGCGCGTGATCAACCCCCTGCGCCCTAAGTTCCCCCACTGGTTCCAGACGGGCCCCAAGGGTGAGCCCTGCATGGTGCAGGCCGCAGTTAATGCGCGCAACCCGCAGCGCTCCAGGAGGAAACAAGTTCACATGGAAGGCCGGCACGACGCTGCGCGCGCCCACGCTGCCAGGTCATCCCGCTCAGCTGATCTGGCGGTGCGCGCGCGCCGCCCTGCCCGCACCCTTCTCGTGCGCAGGCGCCGCGGCGTTCAAGGAGTTCCAGGATCAGATGCGGTTCCTGCTCAACAAGATCCGCCAGGACGGCCGCCCCGCGGAGGACGACAGCGACATCGGCGCACAGGTGGGGTGCTCCACAGGGTGATGGCTGATGACTCGTCCCACGGGGCTCCTTCCTCCATGTTGGCTTGCTCATCTGTAGGTTGCTCGGAATGGCCATTTTTGCCTCCACACATGCCATTACCCGACAAGGTGTGGGCATGCCTCCAAATCGCCGCCCAGGTGTGGCGCGTGATGGACGAGCACCCCGACATCAGCGAGGACCGCATGCTGTCAGAGATCGGCATGCTCTTCGTGGAGGGCTTCGAGACCACCGGTGAGGCCGACTAGCAGCTGTGCTTGTCGACCGGATGCAGCGTTTGTGCTGCTCATCAGCAGGCTCGGCAGTGGTTGGCGGTTGGTTGCTTGACATTGCTGCTGCTGCTGCTGCTGCCGCTAGAGCTGCTGCTGCTGCCGTTGCTGCTGCTGCTGCCGTTGCTGCCGCTGCTGCCGTTGCTGCTGCTGCTGCTGCTGTCATGCATGATCAGCCCTGCACTGTGTCAGACCAAGTTGCATGGCCTGAACAGAGCAATGCAGAACCAACCGCACCCCTTGCGAAACACCTCCAAGCGCTGCCGCATGCGATCGGGACCCTATTCCTCCTTCCAGCAAACAGTAAACCAACCTTCGCCCGACCCCGCATCCCGTACCCCCCCCCCAGGCCACACCACCAGCTGGACGCTCTTCAACATCGCAACCTGCCCGCACGCCCAGGACAAGATCGAGGCGGAGCTGGACTCCCTGGGCCTGCTGCACAAGGAGGGGGCCGCCCCCAGGGAGCTGGACCTGGATGACCTCAAGAGGATGCCCTACCTGGCCGCCTGCGCCAAGGAGGGCATGAGGATGTTCCCCGTGGTGTCCATCATGGGCAGGTGGGGGCGCGGGCCGAGCCTGTCTTCGCGCGTGCGTTTTCAGGAGATGTTGCCTGCGCTGTTGCGCTGCGACTTGCGGGCTGGATGTGGGTTGCCACCTGCATACACGTTGAAATGCTGATCAACACCCAGGACAATCCTGCAGGCTTTCCTTTTCTGAGACCTTTACGGTGTGCCTAAACCCATGAATGCCGCCCTTGAGAGCACCCTCCCTGCCGCTCCCGCCCAACAGGATGGCCACCAAGGTGACCAAGGTCGGCCCCTACACCGTGCCCTCTGGCACGGTCGTGGGTACCCCGCTGTTTGCCATCCAGAACACGGTCCACAACTGGGACGAGCCCCACACCTACCGCCCAGAGCGGTGGGTGGACGTGCCCATTGAGACCTGGGTCTACAACAGCAAGGAGGGCGAGAGTGGCGGCAAGCGCGGCATCACGTTCATGCCGTTCTCAGAGGGGCCCCGCAACTGCGTCGGCCAGTCGCTGGCGAAGATGGAGGTGATGACGCTGCTGGCCAAGCTGCTGGCGTCGTTCCGCATCGAGCTGGCGCCGGAGATGGGCGGGCGCGAGGGCATCCGCAAGCGGGAGAGCACGGCGATGACGCTGCAGACCACCGGCACAAAGGGCATCCGGTGCTACCTGCACCCGCGCAGCGAGCTCGTCGGGAAGCTGTGAGCGCCCGCCGTCATTAGTGCAGCCGGGGCGCCGCCACTGCCGCTGCCGCCGTGTGCGCGGCGGCTGCCGCAGCGGCCGCTCCTACGGGGACGCCTGGCGCCTTTTGAATGAGGTGCGGCGATGGCGGTGGCCGCCCATGCACCTCAGATGATCTGGAGTACTTGAAACGCATACAGCACACGCTGCTGCACGGCCCCAGGTAGCATGCTGCTGAAAACAAGCCGCGCTGCACAGCCGCGTGTTGCAGGCGGCCTCAACCTCAAAAGGGTCAAAGAGCTGACCGCGAGCCTGCCTTGCACCCCTGCGGTAGCAGGGGCCGTGCACCTATTCACCTCCGGGTGCCCATCCAGGCACGCGTTGAGCAAGGCGTGCCTTCTCGCAACGCCCTCAGGCCCTGCGCCAACCGCCATCTCTGCAGTGCCCCAAACACGCGGGCCTGTGCCTGTGAGCGGGTGTGGCCGCCGCGATGGCAGCCAGAACGATTTCCCCCTGCTCCTGCTCTGCAGGGTTGCACCACGTGCCTTCCGTGCGCGCTCGCATGCCTCTCAAGCTTCCATGGACACAAGGTGGCACCGTTCACCCTGTTCACAAGCGTTCTAGGCCACAGGCCCTCCTCCCCCCGAGAGAAACGGATCCTATGCACATATGAAGTGCCTTACAACCACGGCTGCCCCAGCTTAGGCAGGCTCACCCGCCTGTGCTCCTCACTAGTGTGAGAGCTGATGCAAACACCAGCGGAACCCACATAGCATGGCTGTGCGTGTGAATGTAAGCAAGTTTAGGTCCTGTCCTGTCTTCTTGCATGGTCTTGTGACAGCTGGTCAAGCGACCATGACAAGCCTGGCATGCGAGAGCGGTGCCACCACAGCCACCTGGGGGGCTGCACTCAGCGGCTTGCGGGGCCGACCGAAGGCTATGACAGCCCGTGCATTTGCTACACGTATGCACACTCCATGCCAGAATCATCTTGTCACCACACCGTGTGGTACTTGCAGGCTGACAAGTTTGAGTGTGTCGGGTAACCCCCCGCGCCATGGGCACTCCGTCCAGCGAGTGTGCGCAGAGATCAAACTTCCGGTTAACTGAAGGTGAATTCATAACAGCGGAAGATGGTTTCAAGCGTCGATCCTTCCGCTGTCCCCCTTCCCGCCTGTTGCAAGCTCTGGTGAGGGCTTGCAGGAGATCGGCACCCTGTTGGAAAGTACGCGTGGATTTTGTGGATATCCAATCGCTGCTGTCTTTAGCCCCTCGCATCACTCGCATGGAGCAACACGCAACACCCTCCCCGGTGGCCGTCCCAGCGCCGCGGGAGGCCGATCAGCAGCAAAACATGCATGCAGAAATGCAATTCGACGACGATCCCGGCTGCAGCCCCCCCAACGTGGTGGACTCGGCATGCGCGACTTCGTCCAACGGCGCAGCGAGCGCATCCGCCGCGCCCATATTGCTGCCGATGCCTTACACTTACAGCAAGCGCCAGTTCGACCGCAGCTCCTCCTTCACCGGCCTCACACGCAACATCGAGCTCAGCGTCAGGGGCGGCGCCAGCGGCGGCAGCAGCAGCAGCGGCAGCGACGACAGCGACGACGACGCTGCCCCTGGCGATCGGGCGCGCAGTGGAAGTGGCCGCGGCGGGGCGGAGGCCAGCTGGGCGCAGCCCCACGGCGTGTTTGAGGTGGACGAGCCGTCCACGGAGATCAAGTTTGTGATGCGCGGGCTGAGGGAGGCGCTCACGAAAAAGGTGCGCCCAGTCGCCTGACACGGCGGTGGTTGACGAGCCAAACAGGCCTGTCGGCGCCGCGGCCGCCTGCAGTTCTCGAATTGCGACTCTGCTGGCGGCACGTGATCTGCGCTGCATTCACGCTGTTCCTGCGGTGGCCCCGCATATGCCGACCGTCCCACTACGGGCCCTTTCTCTAGTCCCATCCCTTCGCCGCCCACCAACCGCTGCGGCTGGCCACCTCAACAGGAGACCGAGTGCGAGCACCTGCGCCAAATCATCAAGGTGGGCGGCAGAGCCCAGCCCCGCATCATTCTGCTCCGCCGCTCTGCCAAGTACAGCCCCCCGCAGTCGCTGCACCACCCGCTGTTGCGCGCCCGGCCCCCAAAGTGCTGGCCCCCCCAGCTCGCGAGCACCCCAGGCCGCTCCGCGGCCGCCGCAGCCGCTCCGCCGCAGCTGCTCCACCGCCCGGCCCCTGCGCGCCCTCTCTCGCCGTGCTCACGCTCAACAGTGCCCTCATCCCGTCCATCTGTCTCAATTTGTCCGCTCCTCAGTCGCCTGCTTCCGCTAGATGCGGCCCCATGTCACCCATCAGGAACCCTGCACCCCACCCCCCCCCTTCCATCCCCCCCTCCCCGCAGGAGCTGTCCATCAGCCGCGCCAGGGTGCAGAAGAACAAGGTGGAAATGGAGGAGTCTTACGCGGCCCTGCAGAAAGAGTACCTTCGGTGGGCGCAGCAGCACCGGAGTCTTTTGCGACGCGACACGCCAGCCGGCGGCACGCGGCCGCGCCAGCCACGCACGCGGCCCCGCGCGCGCGCTGCGCACGCTGCCCGTGTTGCGCCCCTCTGTCGCACGGCGTTTCTTCCCGCCGCTCACCCCCTCTCCACTGCGCTCCTCCTGACCGTCCCGCACGTCCCTTGCCCACGCCCCGAAAACGGCATGCCCTACAAACGCCTGCGCCGCAGCGTGGTCAAGGTATCTGAGCTGGCGCGCACCGTGTCGCAGCAGAGCCTCAGCCGCAGCCACACCATGCGCAAAGAGCTCCAAGCCGCCCACGACGCCGCCTCCCGCGCGTCGCGCCGCGGCGCCGCTGCCGCCGACAAGGCGCGGCGGCTCAAGGCGGCGAACTGCGAGCTGCGGCAGCGGCTGGCGGCGGTGGAGGCGCTGGCGGCGCGGGCCGGGGCGCTAGATGATATCCGGACGAGTGCATCGATGCGCGAGTTCCTGGCCACCGCGCAGGCGGGGCTGTACTGACTACCCGCAGCCGCGCCAACGTGCGCGCGGCGGGCGTGAGGGGGGCCTGCGGACGCGCTGCTGTCGCGGCGGGCGCTTCGCGGCGCAGCCGGCATCTTGGGCGCCCCTGACGGCTCCCACAGCCCCGCCGCCAGCCTGTTCGGCCGGGGAGGGGCGCCCGCGTCCTAGCAGTGGCTGATCACGCGGCCACCCTGCGCGGAGCTCCACGCCTGCCTGAGACGGCTAGCGCGCCACAGTGCCGCTTGCGACACGCCACCTTTCCGCATTCTTGTGGTGGGGGTTGCCCTTCGGCCCCCCCTGGACCTTCTTCATCACCGCCTCCCCTCCATTGGTGCCACTCCTCGCATTCCCCCTGGCATTGCCTCACGCACTGCCTCTGTCGGCCCAAATCCCCTTCCCCTTTGCCCAAGACACCGCCAGCGCGCCGCGTGGCGCAAGTGCGCCCCTGCCTGCCGGCCCTGGGCGCTGTCGGCAGCCCCCGGCCGGCGCAGCCGGCCCTCATCGCTCCGCCCCCTTGGGACGGGACCGTCCAAGCGCCTTCAATGCCTGCCCCGCCCGGCGCTTGTCCTGGCCGCCCCCAAACCCCCCTCGTGCGTGCGCCGCGCGCGGCGCGCACACGCATGCACCCCTGCCCATTTCGACGCGTCTTTCCCGTAAACATGGCGCCCTGCCGCAATCATGCGCGCCGGCGCCCGGCGCCCGCCCGCGCAGGCTCCAATAGCAGAGCCTAGCGCGCACGCGCGCCCAAACCCTGGCCTGCCTTCCTGATTCCCGTGGGCGCCGCGCCGCGCAGGCTCACGGCACGTGCTGCCCCCAAGGGGCTCGACCCGGATCCGTTTGCGGCCCCTTGCTGCTGCAATGCCCAAGGGGCCCCGCCCCTTCTCTTTGCCTGCCACGGCCCTTATCGGTCCCTCGGCTGCCGGTTGGCTGTTTCCTTGATTGACCCTTTGGCTCTGATTGGCTGTTTTTCTATCGATCCGTTGGCTGCTGGTTGCTTGTTTCCCTTATCGACACTTGCCTGCCGACTGCCTGTCCCCTTGTACACCCATGGCTGCCGATCGGCTGTTGTATGTACTCCAAGCAGCGTTTGTAACAGGAATGCATGTCACAGTGTTTAGAAAAGGGTCATACGCCTGCTCGCCGCGCGGCGCCCCCTTGCGCCCGCACGCGGCGCCGGGCGGGGCGGTCTGCGCGAGGGGTCGCCTCGGCAGCGGCGGTGGATGGCTGCCAGCAGTGCGGCGGGCACACAGACACTCTACTTTGTACAAGGCAAGCAGCGCGGCTGCGCGGGCTGGTGGCCTCCCTGCCTCCGGCAGCCCGAGGCGAGGGGCGGCGGCTGGGCCGCGGGCGGCGACGCGCTCGGCCGAAAACCTCGGGAAGCGCGACGCGGGCGCAGGGCCTACTTGCGCACAGAGTGAGCCAGGCGCAGCTCATCTCTGGCAGCAAGCCGGGCCCATGACAACCCGGCAAGCGCCACGTCCGTCGCTGAGCCAGTGGCGGCTGCGGCCTCCAAGGACCAGGGCTCCGCATTGCAGCCGAGCTGGCTGTCACGGCCGGCGCGGGCGCTGCGCGCAAGCGGGCGCGGCGCCGGCGCGGCGCCGGCCAGCGCGTGCATGAGTGCGTGTGAGCGGGCGCCGAGCTATGCGATGAGGTGGGCGGTCCTTTCACGTGACTAGCTCACGGCCAGGGCCTCCTTGAGGCTCCGCAATCCCATACAGGTCATCCCTGCGCATCCAAAGTTCCAGATGCTTCGATTCCAAAGGCGATTTGGTGTTTGCAATGCCGCTGGGTGGCAGGGGGCCGCGGGCGTCGGACAGGCTAGGGCTGACTGGGTGTGGGGCCCTGCGGCAGCGAATGGCCGTGTGAGGTGCGTCACGAATAGGCAAGTGCTTGTCGGGGCCCGCGGCGCCACGCGGCACGCCGGGCGGCGCGGGGGGCCGCGCCCGCGTGGCGGCAGCGTGGCGCTGGGGCGCGGGCGGCCCGGGCGGGTGGCGTCCGGTGAGAGGAGGGGGACATGCTTTGTCCAGGCCGTGGCGGTTGCGGGGCGCCCTCATCAGGCGTGGAGCGCCCTCATCACGACGTGCCAAATAAAGAAAGGCGCGGGGTACCGCCGCGGCACCGGCGACTGCGCCCCCGCCACCGCGCCTGCCCCGGGCGGAAATTGTATCATATCAGGTGTGAAGAAGTGTGCGCTGTCCCGGCGCTGAAGGCGCATGGGTGATGGATGGCTGCGCAGCGCGGTGCTTGATGCGTGGCGGCGACAGCGCAGGTGGTGGGTCCGCTTTGCAGCGTAAATTATCAAAGTGGTTGAGAAACAAGCCGCGGCCGGGGTATGCACCTGGCAGCTGCACGCGACAGGGCCCTTTGCGGCTGTTTGGAAACGGTACATACGCCTGCGCCCCTGGCCCCAGCGGGCCGTGGGGTGGCGCCTCAGGGCGCAAGCGAGGCACTACGCCGCCGGCACAGGCCGGCGCAAGCAGCGAGCGGCGCGGGCGGCGGCCGCTGGCTGGCGGCGCGTGCGCGCCCTCAGCGCGTGGCGCCC